GTCAATTTTGGCGTGGTGGGGGCCGTCACCGACTTCCACGGGGAGGACTATCGTGCCCTCGGCGTCGATAGAGTCCCCGGTGAAGCCGGATAACGGGGTCTTGATCGGCTTCAGCAAAGCTCTGTCCAGCTTCAGCTGCTTGAAGGTGTCCAGGTACATCACGTTGACGGAGCTCCCCGTATCGATGTAAGTACGGTGGATGATGGAGTCACCGATCTCACATCGGATGACGAGGGCGTCCCTGTGTGACTCCGTACCTGGAGGCAGATCCCTGTCGGTGAAGGTGATCGCCTCCGTTCGCTGCTTCTTCGGCTGGGGGGGGGGGAACGTGGGACACCTCCCCAATGTAAAGGGATTGGGCCCATTTCTTTCTCTGAGTGGCGGAGTCCCCCCCAGTGTTTCCACCTACGATGAGGTGGATGTGATTCTTCTTCGGCGGAGGCTCTTCGAAGTCCTCGTCGTCGCTGAGTCTACCAATCTCCCGCTTCTTCGCAGAGGGTTCGCCCCCATGTTTGCCGGTGTTTACCCAAGTGTTCTTGCGTGGGCCACCTTTGACAAACTGGGAGAGTTCCCCCTGGCGAATAAGGCGCTCGATGGCCTTCTTTAATGTGATGCAATCGTCGGTGTTATGCGACGAGTTCTTGTGGAACCGGCAGTACGTGCCGCCCTGCTGGATGGCAAGGATCTCCTCGGCCGGCCGAGGAGCCTGCTCGATGAGGCCGTGCTTTTCGGCATAATCGAGGATGGTGCCGACCGGGTGGGTGAGGGTTACCCCCGGCCAGTCCAGCCTCGGCCGCCAGTGGCGGTCTTTCTTACTCTGTCCACCAGAGCCGTGGCGGCCCTGGGCACCCTGGCCGGCCGGGGACGGACCCGGAGCCGGTGAAGGATTTGTCTTCTTGGGGGGATGGCCCCCCTCTCTCTTGTGATTGTGGAGCTCGTCGGCGTCGGCATACAAGCCTCCGCGTTGGAGCGCCTTGGCGTACGACCTCGGGGGGTCAGTGATGAGGCTCCTGGCGTACGGGGAGCTGCGGAGGGCTCCCTGGTACAAGGCGAGGAGGGTGCGCTCATCGGCCCCCTCGACCTCCTCGGTCTCCCTCGTCCACCGATCGATGAATGACCGGAGGGACTCCTCGTGCTGCTGCTTGACGGAGAGGAGGTGGGTGAAATACTTCTTGGCGCGCTTCCTCCCGGCAAAGTGAGTGAGGAAGCGCTGGGCGAGATCCTGCCATGAGTCAATGCTTCCTTCTGGCAGTCCGTTGAACCACTCGTACGTTGGCCCCTCGAGAGTAGAGAGGAACCAACGGCAGAGGTATTCGTCGGACGCGTTCACCATCAGCATGTTGTTTTGATAACGGCTGAAGTGCTCCTGGGGGTCTGATCGGCCATCGTAGGACTTGATGGCGTTCCCCCTGTACTTCTCAGGGATGGGGGCCGAGAGGACCCTGTTGGTGAAAGGGGTCCTCGTCCTGACCTGGATGATGGGGTCACCCCGCCCTTCGGCCAGCTCCCTCTCCAGGGCGCTAACTTTGTTCATGAGCGCGTTGAGGCCGGGGTCGTTGGAGGCGTCGGCCGTAGGGATGTTAGCCGACTGCTTGGCCTCCATCTGAGCCAGCCTCCTTTCCAGCTGGGCGATGACCTCGTCCCGGGGGTCCCTATCGGCCGCAGCGGCGCCCGGCTGGTTCCTCAGGCGCTCGTTGTGAGCCGCGTTGATCTGGTGACGCACGTCATCCTCGTGCAACTTCCCCTTGCCCTTGTCCGGGCGGGGCTGGTCCGCTGTCCGGGACACCGACCCCAAACTTTCCCTTGGCGAGCCAGGACGAAGATCAACAACCTGTCCCGCCATCCTCTCCGAAACCGGACGACGGCGCGTGTCACCTAGCCTATTGAAGGCAGAGGCTTTTCCACGCGCTGGGGTCTGCCCGGGCCGAAGAGGGGAAGCAGGGTGGGAGTGGGACGACGCCGTGTCCTGGGCCACAACCCCTTCATTGTTGCCTATCTGGACGGCCAACGGTTGGGGATGAGGAGGTGGAGTGACGTTTCCCCCGGTCCTTGGCAAGAGTGCGCTGAGGACGGTGGGGTTCGAGCGAGGCTGGCGATGATGACCGACAGCGCGGCCTGGACCTGTGGATCCACGGACGGAGAGGCCGCGGCCATAGGTTGGGCCGGGGCGTGATCCGTCTTTTCAGCTCGCTTCTTGTCCAAGCCGAGGCGGGCATCAGGGGCGCCACCGTTGAGTTGGTTGCGGAGGTCCGTTGTGAGGTTGAAGGCCTCCTGGAAGAGGTCCCCTCCGCCGACCTGGTCGGCCGTGGCGTCCTCATCGTGCTCCCTGGGCTCTTGGTCCTCAGGGATGGCTTTGCTGACGAGGTTGCGGTTTGACTTAGTTCTCCCCATGATCAGTGGTTAGCTGTGCTTGGTAGCGACGAAGGGTGCTAACTTGATTGTTCTAGCTCTCAACGAGAGCACCAAATGATAGAGTATATCTAGAGAGAAGTGAGAGCTAGAGAGAGAAGTGCAATAATATGCTTCAATAGAATGATTTTGTAACCCCTATAACTACTCCCGAAGGGAGTATTTATAGAGAAAATTAGGGTTGGGCTCCCAAGCCTTGGACTTGGGAGGCCCATTTACAACTGGACCGCTACTGGGCCGAATACAAAGCCACTAATGGGCTGTACAAATGAGTAAGTGTAAAATCCAATTCTGGGAGGTCTTCTTGGCCGACGAGGGCGTGGCCGACGAGGGCACGGCCGACGAGGGCACGGCCGACGAGGGCACCCGGGTTCCTTGGACTCAGGACCATAATCCGAGTTGGCCCCTTTTCGGCCGACGGGGGCGTCCTGGCCGACGAGGGCGCCACTCTGTTGTCTTGTGCTTTCTGTTCTTCCGAGTATGTGGGTCCTGGGGCTCAGACCCATATACTCCATCAATGCTAAATTGTGTATACTAAATTGTATATATCATATCATATAATTATATATAAAGAATAATACACCAGAGGCCCACTTCAAAAAACTCAAACAATTTTTGTGAATTAGGCCTAAAACATTGTTTTTGCGATGGATTACTACTTTTTTAGGCCTAAAACAGTTTTTTGTGTGATGGATTACTACTTTTTTAGGCCTAAAACTAAATATAGGACTAAACCTGTTTTTGGAATTTTGATTCTGGGATGATGACTACTTTTTTTCCATCATTTGCAATGGAGCCAAAGATTCATTATTTTTTGGCTTGAGGTTATGATGGAATAAAGCAAAATGGCTCACTAAACTGTTTGCGCTTCTTTGTTATGGAGCAGCAGTCAGTCAATGCAATCTTGAACGCGATTTTCACTATGGGTCATCCGGAAACAGTCTCTCTGTGCTTTAGTACAGGGGTAAGACTGCGTACATCTGACTCCCCCTTACCCCACCGTAGGTGGGAGCCTTTGCTGCACTGGGGTAAATGAAAATGTAAAAAAAATGTTGATGATTACTACTTTTTTTTATGTTACAAGAGATATTACGTGCATGTCTATTGAATTTAGGCCAGTCTGCTTGATTGCTTAAATATTTACTTTTGTATGTTTTAGGGTGCTTTGAATATATAAATAACAAGTGAGATTAGAAATTGGTTATTTGGTATCATTTGGGCAAACGGTTACTCATGGATAAACTGATTCCCCGTTGGGGCGGGTACGGTTCAAATAAAAATTACCCGAATAGGTAATGGGGCGGTTTTGGGGCAAACATTTATCCAACGGGACGGTTTCGGTTGTACGTGTACCCGTCCCCGATCCGCGCCATCCCTACTTCCATGGTCTCCGAGTCTTAAGGAAAACCAATGATTCAACCCAAGGTTGAATGGAAGGCCCTTTTAGAGGGACACTCCATAGAAACAAAAAGAGTTAGGAAAGCTCTTCATATATTTTTCATAGCTTCTGGATGATGTCTCTATCAAATTAAATGCAGACTATACTAAGATGAAACAGATTATACAAATAAAGTAACAACCTAGACATAATTAACTATGATTTCTAGTGCACATAATGCACATGTATCACTCGTCAGTCGGTCAGTCCTTAGGTTCACCTTGTCCTCAAGGTGTAATACAGGAAATAGAAATATCAGTGGTACCGGGAAACCCAGCGATGTCTCATGGAGTTATGGTTAATACTTAATAACGTGACCGGTGAACAGGCATAATATCTGTCCGAAGTAAGGTTGCCCTTTGATGGAAAAAAATGAATTTTGATCTAATACTGTATCTCCCTCCAGTGTGACCAAAGAATCTTCATATTTGAATTTCATATTGATTCGTAATTAGGCGTGTCTAGAATTGGTTCTGTTTCTGCTTCTTCTTTAAAAGTGGGATTAGAATCAATCTTTTCAGAAGTCAGTCTCCTCCATCTCCTCAAAAACTTCTCCTTTGAGCAATTTGAAGCATTTAGAATGACTTCTGCACTTTCACCCAAACACTCTAATATATGTTTCTACTCCTTCAGCAAGAAGAAACAACATAGAAGTAGATTCGAACATACCTAATCATGAGCAACACCCAAACCCTAGAGCCATTGCATATTTCACACCTACAACTATATTTGGGTCTGCCATATATAGCACATGCAAATCAGTCTGGAACAGTGAATCTTATAGTTTCACATTGACATTCAGGCAGTAGTGTTGACACAAAGTGGAGCTGTGTAGGATGATGGTGTTGGGAGGACGTTTCTTTCTCAGTCAAAGCCCAAAAGACACATTCGTGTAAAAGGATACCCATAAGGTGAAGGTTTCAATAATAAATACTCCATAACTAAATATCAATGACCACAATGTTTTACTCTTGAACTCCAGGAGAGCTCAAAACAAAATCAAAATCAACAGTTTTTCACATACATCAAAATATCAAACAGCTCGAATTGAAATGTTATAGGACCCGCCTGGATTGTGACGAACCAATCCAAGCCAGTTAACTGTTAAAAGAGAGTAATTAGATAGAAGAATGAGGGAGGCAGTGATGGTTACCGTTCAGAACTTCAAGGTCGAGAGTGTCAACATCGAATCCTGCATCCAAATAGTGATCATAGACATGGCCAGGGGAATCAATATGAGTACCGGTGTGAGTAGGGAGCTTCATCTCGGAGTTGTTGGCCAGAGAACCGTTTTTCATGCTTTGGGGGAGCCACAGGAACTGACCGAGTCCCTCTTCAGAACCCCATGACGGCATTTCAGGGCGCAGAGTATGTGTTATGTCGAAAATCCGACCACCCCCGTGTACTTCACGCCGAACGGGGACGAGGTTATCAGAAGGCGCGGGGTGGGAGCTGGCCGAGTTAACGGCGACGTCGAGTCCGTAAGGAGGAGGGTAGGCTGCAATTTTTGAATTGGAGAGAGCTGGAGGGAGCTTTACTTGCACCAATGAACATATTAGAAAGAGAGAGAGCTTATCCATGTATTCGTGGAAGATTGGAACCGTGTACTTCCGCGGAAAGAAATCCTAAATTGGGAGTCAGAGAAGAAGGCGATCGGCGATGGAATTCACGTAAAAATTGTGTCACGAGGTTTGGTCAAATAGAAAGATGTTAAAGTTTTAAGAGAAGAAGGGAGTAATTTTTTGCCGTAATGCTAATTAATTAAGTATTTATCGAAATAATGTTGGGTTAAAACTATGGGTTAATTATCAAAATAGGACTAAATGTCACTCACTTTGCACAAATAGAATCAAAAAATAAACTATATTTTCATAGGACTAACTATGTGTGTCTTTGACAAATATACCCTTATAGCTATTGAAATGTTTTAATTCATAATAAAATAATAAAAAATAATAAAATTCTTTAAAAATACTAAAACATTAATAAAAAAATATTTTCGATAATAATTATTTATTTATTTATTTTCAAAAAAGAAAAATAATAATTTTTTTTTAAAAATAAAAAACTCAAAAAAATAAAATAAAATCACCGCCGCCTCTGCCACCTCTGCACCACCACTTCCAGTCACCAGGGGAAAAAATGTCAAATTCATTACGAATGTCATATTTATGGCAAAAAACAATGAAAATGTTGGCATTCTCAAAGAGAAATATGCCATGTTTTTTGCATTTTCTGAACAAATGGCAATTTTTAGGAAAAATGACATTTTTCACATACCAGAGATGATGGTGCAAGGAGGTAGTACAAACGGTGGGAAAGACGTTCATATTTTGTTTAATTTTTTTATGGAGTTTTACTATGTTTTATTAATTTTAAAAAAAAAAATTAAAAAAAAAATTATTTTATAAATTTTTTTTTAAATTTTTTAATTATTTTTCTACGAACTTTTTAATTTTTTTCGAATTTATTATGAATTAACATTTAATTAACTCATATTTAAAGGAAAGGTAAGAGTGGAATGAAAAAATAGGTATGTTTCCAATAGGACTAATATGGTCCTATTTTGAAAAGAAAAACATAGTAAGAAGCTGTTCTCTTCGTCTTAATCTTATTACTTTATTCCTTATTCTTATTTTATTCAGATCAGATCAGATCAGATCAGAAAGATTCAGATCAGATCAGATCAGAAGCATTCAGATCAGATCAGAAACATTCAGATCAGATCAGAAGCATTCAGATCAGATCAGAAGCATTCAGATCAGATCAGAAGCATTCAGATCAGATCAGAAGCATTCAGATCAGATCAGATTAGTTCAGAAATTATTATTACTGTTATTATTACTATTATATAATATTATATATTACTGTTATGTTTTACGGAGTAATTTTTAGTATTGATTTTTTAATAAATGCTAAAATTGAGTACTCTGTACCAATCCATCTAATCTAAATATATAATACTGTCACCATTTGATCGAGAAGAATGAATTGAAGTACAAACATTTATTCAATATCAACTTGCGATTATGGTATCAACTTTCGCACTGCACAACTTTATCCGTCTTTACGAGTTGGATATTCCAATTTCAAGTGCAATCAAATATTTTTATTATTATTAAAAAGGTTATTAATATCACCACTTATTATTATTATTATTATTATTATTATTATTATTATTATTATTATTATTACTACTACTACTACTACTATTATTGTTATTATTATAATTATTATTATTGTTACGGAGTATTATTTTTATTATACTTATTAAATAATAATAATAGTTATTATTACTATTATAATTATTATTGATGTTATTATTATTATTGTTATTGTTATTGTTATTATTCTTATTATTATATACCAATTTAGAAAGTTAAGATCAGATCAGAAGGATTCAGATCAGATCAGAAACATTCAGATCAGACCAGAAACATTCAGATCAGATCAGAAACATTCAGATCAGACCAGACAGATTCAGATCAGATCAGAAACATTCAGATCAGATCAGACAGATTCAGATCAGATCAGATCAGATCAGAAAGATTCAGATCAGATCATATCAGATCAGAAAAATTCAGATCAGATCAGATCAGAACTTAAAAAATTCAGATCAGAAACATTCAGATCAGGTGAAGAGAACAGCTTCTAAGTCCTATTTTGAGTTTTTGCCATAGTTTTAATCCTATTTGGAGTAATTTCTATAAAACTATTTATGGATCTACTGTTGGGCCTAATTCGGGTTAGGCAAGGCCGCCAAACGGTTTGGTGACTTATAAGTCGTCATCTGCCTGTTAATGAACTGCTGCATAGACCTTATCAGACAGAACGAACGATTGAAGCCAACAAAAGAGCTCCGACGATGAATGATTGCAACACCCCACTCTGGCTACTACAGCTACTAGGAGGCTATTCCAACTACCAAATACACTCCTTAGTCATCTTCTTCAACTTCAAATTCTCAATTTCATCTACTAGGTACATCAAATTCTCAATTTCATCTCATTTTTGAACTTAGGGTTTAGAGTGATAATTTTCGAATTTGTTAATTATGAATTGATTTGTGAAATGATTTGTTGTGAAATGTAAATATGTATGAAATGTTGAATTTTAATGTAATATTAAGTGTTGAATATGTAATATTAAGTGTTATATTGTTGAATGGTTTGTAGGTGAAAAACTTATTATTTTGCCTTTGTTAAGTGTTGTATATGTAATATGATTTTCTTAAATATGAGAGTTTTGAAATATGTTTTATGTTTATGGATTGTTGAATTTGGGTGTATAAAGTTAGTATATTAATGTGTATTCATCCATTATCGTTATGTATTGTTATTAGAATATTGATTTCTCCAACTTTCCAATTGTGTGTCATTGGGGAGGGAAATTATTTGAGGAAGCAGGGGGTATACGCTATGAAGGTGGTAGGAGACGGATATTTGTTGTTTCTCGTGGCGCATGTACGCGTGAGATGGTGCAAAAATCATATGCTGCTACACATATATCTTCGAGCCATTATTTGCAAGTGCAGGTGAAATATCCCTGGGGGTCATACATTCTTATGCCACTTGACGATGAGGAAGCTGTGACGGCATTGTGGACGATAGTTCAGATGATGACTATGTCCACAATAGAGATATACATTTCATATTCTCACCGTGACGCTTCTGTAACTCCGTCAACATCAAATGTTGTTGTATCTGGGCATGGTGTTAATGTTGCAGCCTCCTCAAATGATGTTGTTTTTGACATGGTTGTAGAGGAGGCTGGACGGTATTTGCACAATGGTGCATCCTTTTTGGATGGCCATGAAACTGATGATGATGCTGATGAACGCATCAATGATGATGCAATGACAGAGTCAGATGAAGATGATGGTGATATTGTGACCGCAACTGCTCCATCTACCCACTATACTAGATTGTATGATCTCCCATCCGGGATTGATGATGCGTGGAAGAGTGGATCGAGTGTGAAAAGGTTTACACAAGACGGTGAGTTTGAGGTTGGTCAACAATTTGACAACAAAGAACAACTCATCAATATGGTGAGCTTGTATTCTATCAAATGCAACCAATTTTATCGTGTGCTAGAGTCAGACAAACATAAACGGATTGCAGAGTGCAAGAGAAAGAAGGAACGTGATTGCACATGGAGAATACGAGCCACAAAGAAACATGCAAGTCTTGACATGTTCACAGTTGTGCGTTATCCTGGACCTCATTCTGCTACCTGTGTTGGCAACAATGACAGCAATGATCATGTGGTGATAACTTCAGATTTTATCTCCCGAGATATTATTGACCTTATTCAAACGGTGAATTGCGATAATCGTGATCGATTTAGGACGAAAACGCAATTTTTCCCAACCGGGGTGCCCCTGACCGGCCCTGATTGGGCCCAGACCGGCGCCGGTCTTAAACAAAACGTTTGGGTGTTAACGTATTTGGGAAGGGAAAAGTCATCAAACGGTTTGGCGACTTATTAGTCGCCATCCGGTTTGGCGACTTATAAGTCGCCATCCGGTTTGGCGACTTATAAGTCGCCATCCGGTTTGGCGACTTATAAGTCGCCATCCGGTTTGGCGACTTATAAGTCGCCAAACGGTTTGGCGACTTTCCCCGACCAGAGTTAAGCCCAACAGTATATTGGTAAATAGTTTTAACCCAACATTAATTCCGTAATTATTTAATTAATTAACATTAATCCGGGAAAAACTTGAATTCAGCCAAGTTACTATAGATGATATTTTGGATTTTTGATCGAAAAAACGTACTAATAGTCCAGTACAGTACTACTTTTTTTTGCACCCACTCTTACAATATAATATTGGCCCACTTCAAAGATTCTCATAATAAAACCGTATGGTTATTTAGAAAATAATTAAATAAAGTAGTTTAGGGCTTTGTTTGGCAAGCATAAGTCTCTACATTCTAGCTTTTGTACTGTTCAAAAAGTCTTTAAAAGCTTCTAGTTATATGTTTGGCATGACAATTTTTAAGAGCTTTTCAAAAATTAAAAGATCTTTTTTGAGATGATACAGGGAGTAGCATTTGAAAAAAAACCGTGACTTTTAGTATTAATTAGTCCTAACAGCTTGTATACCAAACCGAACTAAATCAAACAGTCAGCTTTTTACCTAACAACTATCACCTTTTCTTTTTAAGATCTTTTCAGTCACTAAAAGCTAACAGTTATTAAAAAGCTCACAAAAGTATCTTTTCATCTAGTTGTGCCAAACATACCCTAGGTATATTTTGAGATATAATTTTAACAGGTTTATGATATAATGGAGTTAGTGTTGATAATTGTGATGTTATAAATGTACTCCGTATTACTTTTAATATTTAATGATTAATTTTTCATTTAAAGGAAAGTGAGAACATTTCTATGGGACAGAGGGAGTACTACGTAATAAGACATATTTTGTACGTGAACGAAACTCACGGACAAAAAAAACTTTCACAAACATGATGGGTATAAAAGTGGGTATAAGGGTGGGAACATATATATGGGACAACAGAGGGAGTACTTCGTATTACTTTTAATATTTAATGATTAATTTTTCATTTAAAGGAAAGTGAGAATATTTCTATGGGACCGAGGGAGTACTACGTAAGACATATTTTGTATGTGAACGAAACTCACAGACAAAAAAAAACTTTC